GGGGAGGGGGGGGGTGAGTTAATGTGTATTTCACTTTCAAGCGATGTTGACGACTGAAACAAAATCACTTTCAAGCGATGTTGACGATCTATGAGCGCAGACCTGCGCCTTTATCTATGAGCGCAGATTTTTACACCTCGTCTTTTGCGCCGATTTTTACACCTCGTCTTTTTCTATGTTCTTTTTCGTGCACCAACATGTTCTTCTTCTTCTTCTTCTTCTTCTTCTTCTTCTTCTTCTTCTTCTTCTTCTTCTTCTTCTTCTTCTTCTTCTTCTTCTTCTTCTTCTTCTTCTTCTTCTTCTTCTTCTTCACCACGACCCTCACTTTTTCTCATCTCTCATTTGTAAAAATCTTGTCCACGTGGCTACTAGTATCGAGTACTCAATGTACATTAATACTCTAACTTTTTTAGCTCCCCGTTATAATTTTGAGAGTTTAGAATTCAAAGTCCCCCATTTAGGATAAGAAACCTGAGTTTTAGAGGACAGAGCCCCGTGCAGTGGTGTAAGATTTTTGTATTGTGAGATATGACGTACGATTCTGAAATAGTTGGGTATCGATATTTGACGATTTCGATACTATACAATTAAACGTCATTTTTAACAAATTTCTTTCTTTAAGATTCATGCTGACTTTCAGTATGTTATAGAGGAAGGTCTACTGGTTGTAACGACACCAAAATCATCTTTGTTGCAATTATTTTACCCCCATAGTGAAATGCACAGGTACATATGAATTATTCGCCTAGATCTAGATTTAGATATAGCACTACTAGCTAGTGAATGCCATTACTCGGTAATAGGAAGCTTACTTGTTGTACTTAATTAGTATTAGTATTAGGGTTAGGCTCAAAATGTGCTGTTCCAATCAAACACTAAACCACCCTAGATCTAGATCTACAAAGGCCAGTCCTATCTCTGTACACTGCATGCAGTGTCCAGCTAACACATCGGTTCTAGTTAGTCATTAGTAAGTTATAAAAAATTAGGGAATGCCTTTCTAGATCTAGATCTAGACTAAGAACTAGAAGGAGAGGCAAGTCTAGGCCTAGGCCTAAGTCTAAATATCTAGATTCAGATCTAGTCTTTCTCCTTTAGGAGACTAGGTGAGTTTTGTTAGGTTCTATACGATACAATATCTAGACCTAGAGCTATATTAAACTGACCAGAATTCACCTACGATAAAATATCAAAGCTATCTAATCATTACCTTATGTTCTGAATCCAGATCAAGGGCCAGATCTACAACAAGTTCCCCAGAGATATCCAGTTTCGCTTTAGCGAAAAAGACATAGATTTACAATATATACTGAGAGCGAGAGAGTGAGAGAGAGAGAAAGAGAGAGAGAGAGAGAGAGAGAGAAGAGAGAGAAAGAGAGAGAGAGAGAAAGAGAGAGAGAGGGAGAGAGGGGGGAGAAGAGAGAGAGAGAGAGAGAGAGAGAGAGAGAGAGAGAGAGAGAGAAAGAGAGAGGGAAAGAGAGAGAGAGAGAGAAAGAGAGAGAGAGAGAGAGAGAGAAAGAGAGACAGAGACAGAGAAAGCGAGGAAATAAGAGAATGAAAGAGAGAGAGAGAGAGAGAGAGAGAGAGAGAGAGCCCTTTGTCTTTTATCTAGAATTTGTCACACCAGTGTACCTATAAGTCTCCAGTCCGACTATCATAAGGAAATATTCTATTCCCTGGTTTCACCAAAAGAAGCTGATTTCTTTTTCTATGTCGAGGGGGACTGAAAACTCTGTGTGTGTGTGAGAAGAGAGAGAGAAGAAGAATAAGAGAGAGAGAGAGAGAGAAAGAGAGAGAGAGATTGAGAGAGAGAGAGACAGAGAAAACAGCTCTGACCCAACTCTCGTCCGGAAATGTTCTGTCCCCATCTTTTTCAAAACTTTTTGTTTCACCCTACCGTGGCTTGCAAAAGACAGAGTTCGATTCCTGTGTGGGTAGGGGTATTTTTTGTTCATCGAGTAGGGGGCCTAAGACCGCCTGTCAGCTGGAATACCGTCACAGGCAAAACAGCACATTATGTAAATCTTGTCCAAGTGTCCATGGTCTGTATTTACACAACAGGTGCACCGTAACCGCCCAGGGCCGGCTAATTATCCAAACTAATTGTAGTGATTTAACAGACAGGGAAGACTGATTGGAAAACATAAAAAAACAAGACAGACAGGAAAGACTGAATTGAAAACATAGAGGATAGGACAGACAGGGAAGACTGATTTTTAAAACATAGAGTACATAACAAACGGGAGGACTGATTTGAAAACAAAGAGAACAAACACATTTTGCTACCGATTTGAACTTTTATTTCCATACTGCCGGTTTCTCATAGTTTACAACACATTGCCAAAGCAGTACATTTCACATTTTCTATGCTCTGCGTAGTACCGTGTTGGCCGCTCGGTTCCAACCAGAAAGTGGGCCGTTGCCCGAACCATCGTTTTCCCGGCCACCCTTCTGGTTTGAACAGAGCGTTACACCCTTGCGCCACGGTGAGGCCCGGTACTTCCGACTTCCGCAAGGGGGGGAGTGGGGAGGGGAAGTCTGTGAGCTGTGGAAGACAAAACAAATAAGCGATAACAAAAACGTTCCCTACAATTTGGTCCCGTACCCGATACCTGCTGACGCCGTTAAAGAACTTGCTATTTTCCCATAACCGGTGACGTGGGCCAGTTCCAGTTCCCCGCGGACACCTGTCACCCCACATAATTTTATCACCCCCTGCACTTCCCCCAACCCCCCCCCCCCAACAGCCGAAACTGACATCTTACGTAATGAGGGGTCAGGGGTCAGTTCCCCACTAACCCCTAACCCCTCAGAAAGAGTTCCCCAAACTGGTTGAAAGATGGAAACAGCTCATGCCCCCAAAAAGCTGTTACCTATTACACTTGCATCAAAACGGATTCTTTAAAATACAGTGATTACTCAAAAGTGCAGCTTATCGAAAAAATGATCTACACCCCCCTCCCCCTCGCTTCTCTTCAAATTTCATCAACTTTTTTACTTCACACCTTACCCCCAACCCCATCACACTCACAAAGGTACTGCTGCCTCAGTCTCAAGCTAGGAACAAACCACGCATGAGACACACGGACAAACTGGACTGGCCACAGATACGGAAGCAGGAAGCTGAAGGGACTATTAAATCCTACGGAGACAGGCCCGCTCCTTAACATCAAAAGCATCAACTGAGGCGTCTTATCATGCTAAATAAGAACAAAGACACAAACTACACACACATGCATCAACTAGTCTCATTTCCCATATTGGAATACTTTGTCGTTCCCTTAGAAGCCAGGCTCAGGGTCACGTCGAGGAAACTCTTCGGGAAGAGAGAAAAAACAATGCACACAGGGGAAAAAAAAAAGGAAATTTAGAAAAATGTCTTCTGAAATAAAACTTATTATTGTAAAAAATGATAATTTTACAGACATGCCAAAGCATTACAAAATTTATTAATTCATTCCTTAAATTAAAAATTATAAAAAGTAGGTTATAAAAATAACAACAACAGCAACAATAATAATAATCATCATAATCATCATATATTTTACACACATACAAACTCAATCAACTAAAACAAACAGACTTCCCCATCCCACTCCCCCACCTACCTGCTCCGTTGTTTCTCCTGTCGGTAAAGAGTTCTATAATTAACTCTCAAACAACCCGCTGTCATCTTCCACCTCGTCGTCCGTATCCACGAACAACACTCTGTAAATTTGGTCAAAGTCTACCTCGTCCTCAGCCCGCTCCCCAAAATCACTATCGTCGCTAGAAAAAAATTTCTCATCCTCCTCAAAATCCCCACTATCCTCCTCAAAATCCCCACTATCCTCCTCAAAATCCCCACTATCCTCCTCCCCGTCTCCGGAATCCCCCTCAAAACTCACCATCTCCTCGTCACTAGAAATAGGCTCTGGCTCCTCTATGATTATGGGCAAGATATGCCTGGCTCCGTCTGGTGCCCGCGAAGACTCCGAGTTCTGGGGAAAGAGAAAGGGAAAAACGGACCTGACCCAAATTGTTCCGGTTACGAAGTCAGAGGGCTCGGAAACACTATTTAGAAATACCCACAGAGCGAGAATGACACAATGACACGGTTGTTTTAAAAATGAGCCACCCAGCGAAAGTGTCGGTCCGCACCAAAAATATTTTTGAACATGCTACAGCTAGTCCGACAAAGGGACGGCTTTTTTAAAGATGACTTTTAACTGACGACACCGATTTCTAGCGAGCTACCGCATTTGGTCTTTTATCAATTTGTCCCATTTACATCAGTATACCGTGTCAAAAAACAGCTCGGTCAAAATTCTCACCAGGAAATGTTATATCACCATATTTCTAAAAAGTTGTTTTAATGTTTAGTGTTTATGTGGGTGTGTGGGTGTGGTTGTGTGTCTGGGTTGGTGTGTCTGGGTTGGTGTGTCTGGGTTGGTGTGTCTGGGTTGGTGTGTCTGGGTTGGTGTGTGTGTGTGTGTGTGTGTGTGTGTGTGTGTGTGTGTCGGTATGTGATTGGGTGTGTGTGTGTCGGTATGTGATTGTGTGTGTGTGGGGGGTGGGTATGTGATTGCGTGTGTGTGGGGGGTGGGTATGTGATTGTGTGTGTGTGGGGGGTGGGTATGTGATTGTGTGTGTGTGGGGGGTGGGTATGTGATTGTGTGTGTGTGGGGGGTGGGGGTGGGAGGGTGTCTGGGTGTGTGTGTGTGTGTGTGTGTGTGTGTGTGTGTGTGTGTGTGTGTGTGTGTGTTTGTGTGTCTCAGCTTGTGGTTGCGTGCCAACTCACCATCTCCTCGTCGCTGGAAACGGCTGTGCTGGTCCTCTCCAGAC